ATTGATCTTGACAAAAACTGTATGTTCACAGTTTATAGCCCAACAAACCCCAAATGTAAGAATCATAAAGAAAACCACAGCTGGCCACAATATTATCAAACTGCTAAAAACCAATGTAAAAGAGAAAAATCTTAAAACAGAAGAAAACAGGCATGTTATGTATACAGCAACAAAGATAGGGTAATGTGAGATTTCTCATCAGAAACAATACAAGCAAGAAGACTGAGGCTATTAACTTTAAAGCACTGAAAGAAAAACTGTCAATCTAGAATGCAGAAGGAGCAGAGAGATGTTTACAGAAGGGTACGAGGAAACTTTGGGGATGACAGCTAAATTTAGTATCTTGATTGTGGTGATGATTTCACGGGTGTATACATATATCACAACTTGTTAAGTTGTACACTTTAAATTTGTAGTTTATTGTCAATTATGTCTTCATAAAGTTGTTTAATCTGTAAGACAAATTTATCTCCTACTAACCAGGTATGCTCCAACCCTGGAGATAAAGCATCGAAAATGATGGGCACAGGACCCTTCAATACAAAATCAATAATCTTAGCAAAGAAAACATACTGGATGCTATGAAGTATGATAAAGTCTATGAAGTACTGGTTACTATGACAACATATAGTACAGATTCTATAGTGCAGATTCTAACTAGTCAAGAAAGGAATCCCTGAGGAAGTAATATGTAAGCCAACATGAAAGAATGAAATACGAATTAGCTAGATGAAATATAGGTGGGAAACATATAAAAACATATAAAAAGACACGTACTAAATGAAGGTTCTAGGAAAAGGATGCTTATAAATGCCTAGGAAGGGAATTGCCAGATCAAAAGGCAATTACAATTTGATTAAAAATAAGTTTTTGTTTAGTTCTTTGAAACAGAAAGTGACATTTACTGCTTACGTAGCAAAGGAAATTTTGCTACAACTTGATAACATTATTTAAGACAAGAGAATAAGCTTCATTGCATCAAGTTCTTGACACCAGAGACCATGTTATCTTTACATCTTAAATGCAGTGTTTGTTGTAGCCAAGGTGCCCATCAAAGGTTTGCGGAACTAAAGTGAACTCCTTCAGTTAGAATAAAAGAAATCAAATTATCAGGAGCTCCTCAATTATGCTTCACTATCTCTAGAAATGACAGTTTTTAAAATAAATAATCTCTTTTTCATCATCCTCAAGTAATTCTTAACGGAAAACTCACCATGTGAGCTATTGCAAAAGCCTGCTATTTGCTGTCTGCAGTACTCTCATCTTCCAAACTCAATCTCCACAGAGTCTGAGGTAAGCTTCTCAACTCCCAAATCTTAAGTAAAAGTCCCTTTTACTTAAAATATGGTACACATATACCATGGAATACTATGCAGCCATAAAAAGGAAAACAATCATATCCTACACAGGGACATGGATGGAGCTGGAAGCCACTGTCCTCAGCAAACTAATGAAGGAACAGAAAACAAAACACCACATGTTCTCACTTGTAAGTGAGAGCTGAACAATCAGATCACATGGACACAGGGAGGGTAACAACATACACTGGGGCCTGTCAGAGGATGTGGTAGGGGGAGGGAGAGCATTAGGAAAAATAGCTAATGCATGCTAGGCTTAATACCTAGGTGATGGTATTAGGTGCAGCACACCACTTACCTCTGTACCAAACCTGCACATCCTGCACATGTACCCCGGAACTTCAAAGAGAAAAAAAAATCAGTCAGGAGCAGTGGCTCAGGCCTGTAATCCCAGCACTTTGGGAGGCCGAGGTAGGTGGATTGCGAGGTCAGGAGTTCAAGACCAGCTTGGCCAAGACGGTAAAACTCCGTCTCTACTAAAAATACAAAAATTAGCTGGGCTTGGTGGCAGGCACTTGTAATCCCAGCTACTCCAGAGGCTGAGGCAAAGGACTGCTTGAACCCAGAAAGCAGAGTTTAAAGTGAGCTGAGATTGTGCCACTGCACTCCAGCCTGGGCGACAGAGTGAGACTCCATCTCAAAAAACAAAACAAAACAAAACAAACAAAAAAATTAGCTGGGCATGGTGGCAGGAGCCTGTAATCCCAACTACTCGGGAGGGTGAGGCAGGAGAATCGCCTGAACCTGGGAGGCAGAGGTTGCAGTGAGCCGAGATCACACCACTGCAGTCCCGCCTGGACAACAGAGCAAAACTCAGCCTCAAAAAAAAAAAAAAAAAAAAAAATCTTCAAATGGCACCTGATATCCTCCAGTTGTACATCCCAAACACAGAATCTAAGATTAACGCTGATGAAATGCGTATAGAATAAGGACAACTTTGTGAGTTTTTTCTAAAGTTAAAGTATTCAATGGACTGTTTATTGTGAGATTTTGCTTCCTGCTTTTTTGGTGTTAAAATATCCTTTTGTTTATGAAAAGATGGGTGAGTACATGATAGTTTTTAAGAAACATCTCCACCTAGTAAACAGAAAAGTTGACAGAACTATGGCAGCTGAGTTTTATATTATAATGGCTCAATACAAAGATGTCAGGGAAACACTGAATGACCGGAAATAAAAAGGCAAACAGGGCAGTCACTGATCTATCTCCTCTCACTTTCCCAGACGTTTTGCTCCAGCAATGTAAGAGTGCAAGGATATCCAGCATTCAATCTATTAATTATTTTCCTTTCCTCATACTTTCCCATGAATGGAATGCCCTCAACAATTTCTTCTCTTCTTCATATACTCAATTTATTGAGTACCCACTATGTGCCAAGCACTAGATATAGGGTAGTGAGCAAAAGGAAAACATCACTGTTTTCAAGGAACTCATAGTCTAGTGGAGGAAACAGACAACAAATCAAGATAGAATTTAAAAGGCCAATAAATACTGTCTTATGGAGAACGCAATGACGAAACCCAAAAGTGAAGGCAGGAAGGCTAGTCAGGAGGCTACTACAGTTCAGGTAAGAGATAACTCTGATGTGGACTAGGGTGGAGGCCTGGAGATATCAAAATGTGGAATTGACCAGACTTGCTACCAAGTAGACAGTGGCTAAAAGAGAGAAACCCCAAATGACTCCAGCACAAGTGTCTCTTGGAACCAAGCTGGGCTAGTCGGCTAAAGGATAAGAGATCACAAGGAGAAGAGTCAAGAAGAGACCATCTGAAAGAATCTTAAACCAGCCTATAGTCTGAGACCCTACCCCCACCCTCCAAACATATGAGGAAATCCAGCCAAATGAGCAGAGCTTCCTAGCAGATCCATTACTGAACAAAGATGCATCAATGAGCCCAACTAAGACTAGAAGAACCACTCAGTTGACAGACCCGTTGACTTCTGAGCAATAATAACGGCTTCTTGTTTTGAGACACTGAGTTTTGGCTTCACTTTCCAATGCACTAGCTAACTAAACATGGTGATACCATCTACTGACACATGGGGTGACTGGAAGAAACACGGTGGCAAAGAGGAAAAGGAAGCAAATAAAAAGAAAAATCAAGCTTATCCTCTCTCATCCTAGTCAACTCTTACCTACCCTTCGAAGCTCAACTTAGATATTAACTCCTCCAAGAAGCCTTCCCAGATCTCCAAGCTAGTTTAGGAAAGATGTTCAGGTACTATCATTGTATTTTGTACATATCCCTATCACTGCGTTCCCGTATTGTTTTACAATTATCTGTTTACAATTTTCTTCCTAACGAGTTAATAGTCCTCTTATGGAAGGTGTCTTGCTCATGTTCACATCATCAGCACGTAACACAAAACATGCACTCACTAAATATTGCTGAATTTAATAAATCAATTAGCAAAAACTTGTTTTACACTTAAATGTTTGTTATTATAATTAACTCTAGATCACTACTTCTCAAAGCGTGACCTCTGAAAACATAAATCAGAATCAGCAGGGGTGTGTATTTTAAAATGCAAATCTCTGGGTTCTATCATAACGAAAACACCGTTAAGTTGTAAAAACAAGAGTAAGGATATTCTACCAGGCTACAGATAAAACAAGGAGTAGCAGCGTGGGAGTAAATCGACTTTTCCTCACTATCTTCTAGAGCTGTTCTCTACCACAGAGTTCTTAATGTGCCAGGAACTGAGTAATTAAAAATGCTGTGACTGGAATGTCGTTTCCCTTCTAAGAAACGGCTCTGGGTGAGAGGAAACAGGAGCTGTGGGTCCTCCAAGGAGGTGTGGTTTCTCAAGGCACACGTTCACAAGGGAAGCTCCAGGAGGAAGGAACGTTCTCAGCGTCCCCCGAAACAGGAGCCAGGCTGTGAACACACAGCGGCCAAGGCCCCGGGCAGCAACCGCACGCCAGCCCTCAGCCCTCAGCTCTCAGTCCTCAGAGACTGGGCTGCTGAGCGGAGGGGGCCCAGGGTCCCGTTGCCAAAGACCGCGCAAAGGCGGCTCCCACCAGGTTCTGGGATGGGCATCATTCCCCAGAAGCAGCGGCCTCCGTGAGTCCACCCAAGCCGGACCGGCCGTGAGGAAGGCCACGGTGGCTTCGCTTGCCAGTCAGAAAGAAAGAAATTGCGGGAAGGGTCGGGCCAGAGGCAGCCGAAAGGGGAAAGGAACTGAGTACTTAAAGGCGCCGCCGCTTCCCACCTGCGTCAAGCTCCAGCTGGTAACAAGGCAGCGGCTCAAGAGAGAGCTTGTAACCCTCGAAGCGGGGATCCAACAGAGGTCTCTTCACTCGTAGGGAGCAATTAGCCGCCACCTCCATCGCTTTCCAGGGTCGCACCGTGAGAATTAATAAAGCCCTTGTTGAAAGGTCCGCGCTTCACGCCTCGCACAGAGACTGGGAAGCAGCGTGGTTCCCATCCCAGAAAACACTGCGGTGCGAACTGCCTTCTGGGAAATGTAGTGTCCGTGAAAAAGTTGACGTTGTTACATGCTGGGCTCTGTAGTTCTCCTGGTACTTACCACCCGCGCGACGGCAAGGTCTGAACTATCTTACCCAGAGGCCCTAGCGACCAGGAGGCGGCCCGCGCTGGTTAAATTCTCACATTATAGGCAGGGTGGCGAGACCCCGCCCCGGAAATGCGTGTTCTAGCTTTCTGTGTGCTTAGGTGCCCGAGCTACTGAGGGTCTAAGTCCGGGCAGCCGAAGAGTGTGGTAGGTAACGGTCGTCAGCGCAAGGGTCATTTCGTCGCTGGGAAGGGACGGCCCTCGCCCGCGGTGATGGTGGTGAGCTATGCCTGTGGTCCTCAGGGCCGGGACCCGGGCCCAGCCCAGGCTCCTTTCGATGTACTGTCTTTAGTTAGCGTCCCCGACCCGCGCTCGCGGGCCTGTAGGGCTCTCCGACAGGGCGTGCTACCGGAGTTGGCCTGAAGCCAGTCCTCGCTTTGTTTTCTGGCTCCTCCCCTCCCGCCTCTCCCGCTGTCTCCGCCCTGTTCTATTTTCCCTAAGAATGTCTGAACTGGGAGGGATACCCTAGCGCCCGTGTTTTACTAGTGAGAAAACTGAGGCCTTTAAGAATTAAGTGACTTGTCCAAGGTCACTATCCGTATTTTAGGGGCCAAGGGGAGATCAAGTTCAATATTCCAGGAATGGTACTGACTAGACCTTGTAGTTATTTTGAAAATGTTAACCTCCAATTACAAAAGCAAGCATTTCCTAGTTCTTACTCAACTTCTCCTTTTCCTTGTTCCTCTCAAAAAAGAAAAAAAAATCAACTCTGAAAACTCATTGCCAGTCTGAATTTTCAATAGGCCAGATGGAAGACAACAAAAGTAATCTCAAGTTAGTGACAGATTAGGTGGGAAAACGTTAGTTTACGCGAAGTTTTATTTAAACTTTTAAGTGGCTTGAATGCTTTCAAAACCTAACTTTCCTCTCCTTTTAACATCATTTTGGTTTGGGTTGTCTCTTTTTACTGAAAATTGAGGACTTTGTAAGTTAAGAATTAGTTTGAGATTTGTTTTCTCCTTATCGTACCAGCAATGTGTGTGTAAACACATCCACACACTTACGTTTACCACTTGTAATTGTGAGTTCATCCTAATGAAGAGTAAAGCAAAGCACTTAGAGCCTTATCTAGTCATTTTATTTTTTTTAATTTATTATTATTATTATTTTTTTTTTTTTTTTGAGATGGAGTCTTGCCCTGTCACCCAGACTAGAGTGCAGCAGCGCGATCTCGACTCACTGCAACCTCTGCCTCCCGAGTTCAAGCGATTCTCCTGCCTCAGCCTCCTGAGTAGCTGGGATTACAGACGCCTGCCACCAAGCCCGGCTAATTTTTCTGTTTTTAGTATAGACGGGGTTTCACCGTCTTGGTCAGGCTGGTCTTGAACTCCTGACCTCGTGATCCACCTGCCTGGGCCTCCCAAAGTGCTGGGATTACAGGCGTGAGCCACCGCTCCCGGCCTGGCAATTTTATTTTTTTTGCTAATAGTGTTTAATCTTTTTTGATATTTAGTTTATATGACTTCTCCCAATTTTTGGATGCAGTCTGTGCAGAAGTGTTCAGCAGTTATGTTCAGTTTTGGAGCTCCTAGGGTCAAAGTACTTGAGTTCAAAATCTGCCTTTCCACTTTCTATCTCTGTGCCTCAGTTTCCTCATCAGTAAAATACAGATTATGTTATTAATATAAATATGTAACAATACGTTCTGGGAATTAAATGTGATGTTTAAAAAAAAGCAACCCCCCACAGCATTAGCCCAGTGCCAAGCACATAAGTGTTTAATGAAGAGTAATGATATTGTTCACACACTTGAAATGTATCACCCCTTCAGTTGATAGAATGGCAAATATGTTAGGATGCCTGCCTAGAGGATTTAGAAGAAAATGCTTTGTAAATGTTCTATGTCTGAAAATACATGTTGATGTCCAGGTTAGCAAGATGAACAAAGATGCGCAGATGAGAGCAGCGATTAACCAAAAGTTGATAGAAACTGGAGAAAGAGAACGGTAAGTAATAGATTGTGTTAGTAAATTACATTTTACCATCTTTAATAGTTACAAGAATCTAAACAAGAAATAAAACGTCACTGGAAAGAATTACAGTTGACATTATAAAAAGTTTCTATTCCGAATATCTGGAAAAAATAATTTAGGTGTGTTAAGTATTGCAGGATTTGGAGGGAAATGTTGATGTAGAAAGATGAGTAAGAAATGGCTCTTAATTTGACAGAGAAGAAAAAGTACCTGAATTACAATTGGAGACATAATGTTACCTGGGTTTTAACAGGGAGACAACGTTGTGGAACCAGCTTCATTTACCAGACTCTCAACCTTGGAGCAGCAAGGGCTCTTTCCACTCTCTAAAACACTCTTCCTTCTCTTCCTTTTGAGCTAATTCTAGCTCATCTATCAGGTCTCATTTATATATTGTGTCTTCAAGGAATGTTTTTAAGTCCCAAATACCTTGTTCCATGATAGCATTTAATCAACACTGTATTCTAACAATCTACTTGGCTTAGTTGTATCCTCCAGTATAATCTGAGTTAACACCAAAAACATTGTATACCCAGTATCTAATTTTTTGTGTGGTTCATAATTGGCCAAGTAAATATTTGCAGAATGAACAGGTTTAGAAGTACAAAGAAGGGGCTGAGGAATCAAGAAAGGCTTCCAGAGCCAGGGTTATAAAGTGAATAAGACAAATATGTATAAGGAAGAGTGGGACTCTTTCAACTCGACCTGGGCATTACGGTGGTCAGGTAAGAGCTCACACAATAATAAGAAGTACATCTGTTGCTGACTTTATTTTTGGATCATGGGAGTCATTAAAAGGTTTTAAGAAAGGGAATAACTAGATCATGTTTACTCTTTAGGGATCTTACTCTGTTGGTATGGAACTTGGACGACAAGATACATGACAGAAAAATGAGGTAGAAGATTATATAGGGTTGAAAATGGAAAACTCCAAAAATGGGAAGGAGATCTTAGAATTTTAATAAAGTGTAGAAAGAGCAACCCTCAAAATGAGGAAAGAGGCATCTATAACTGCCTTGGGTAGCTTTAGAGGATAGTACTGCTTTTAAGGAGTACGGATTGTGTGTTGTTTTTTTATTTGTTTTTTCATTCATGCAGCTTCAAGTTACTGAGTTTCTATCATGTGCCATGTCCTGTTAAGGTGTTGGAGGTAACAGTAGTGGACAGAAATGGATTCTGTGTTTTCATGGAGCTTGAATTCTAATGGGAGGAGACATAAGAATGTGTAGTATGTCAGATGGTGATGAGCACTAGAGGAACAATAAAACAGAAAATAAAGAGGTATAATATTTTAGATAGAAAAAAACAAAGAAGAAATCAGAAGGAGGCCGGTGCGGTGGCTCACGCCTATAATCCCAGCACTTTGGGAAGCCAAGGCTGGTGGATCACAAGGTCAGGAGATTGAGACCATCCTGGCTAACATGGTGAAATCCCATCTCTACTAAAAATACAAAAATTAGCCTTGCATGATGGTAGGCTGTAGTCCCAGCTACTCGGGAGGCTGAGGCAGACGAATCGCTTGAACTTGGAGGCAGAGGTTGCAGTGAGCTGAGATCGTGCCACTTCACTCCAGCCTGGGCCACAAGAGTGAAACTCTGTCTCAAAAAAAAGAAGAAAAAAGAAATCAGAAGGATATGAGGGAGAGCAGGGACTTTTAAGTTCCTGAGATAGGAGCTTGCCTTTCATTTTTGAGGAGCACAGGGATGCTAGGGAGACTGAGTAAATTGGGTGAGGGAGAGTGGAGATAAAGTCAGTGGCATAGCTGAGGAGAAGGCAGATCATGAAGGATCATGTAGGCTGTAATAAAGTCTCAGAGTTTTATTCTGAGTATATTGGGAAGGCACTGAAGGTTTTTGAGCAGCAGGAGAACTAAGTGTACAAGGGAAGAAGCAGGGAGACAACCTAGAATGCTATAGTAATATTCTAGAGAAGAGATGATGGCTTGAATTAGGGTAGTAATGGCAGAGATAGTGAGAAAGGTGAATTCTAGGTGTATGTTTTAAATTGAACCCAATAGGATTTGCTCATAGATAGGATGTGTAGTGTCAACAAGGCAGCTGAGCAGAAGGATACTACAGAGATTCCTAGTCTGAGAAACCAGAAGAATGGAATTACCATTCTCAGAAGAAGAACAAGCAGGATGAAGTGGTAGAGAATCAAAAGTTGGATTTTGGCCCTATTAGGTTGAAAGACCTAATTAAATATCAAGATGAGAATGTCACATAGTGGATGTCTAGGGATAGTGAAAGTGGTTTGCAGGGAAAGAGAATTTGTTTGGGATGTGACATTTTTAAGCTGAGAAGTTAAATGATTTAGGTTGAGGATTGAAGATTTGTAAAAGTGGGTATGGCAAAAGAATAAGAAAATATTTTATTGCACCTGTGATGCCATTAGTTGCATATACACTGCCACATTTTTGCCATTGAGAAAAAGAAAACACTGCCAATTAAATTATGAGGGGCATGCCAATTACTGAATCATTAAAATGTGGGGGGAACAACAGTCTTACAGTCAATGAAATACCATTGTCGTTTTGTAGTTTAGAAGGGCCTGATAGAGATCGAAGAAGGGGGTAGCCTGTGAAGTTAAAGGTAATGGGGGAAATAGGAGAGCTAAAGGATAAGAAGTTGAGGTTAAAGAATGGATTTTGGAATTTGAAGATTTTAGAGGTGCAGCTGCTCCAAGTTCAGTTAATACTCTCTAGATGTTGTACAAGACTTATGATATTCCTGTTGGTAGAGTACAGTAGAAAGTATGTAATGTGGCCAAAGAATAGAGCTTCTTGAAAAGTATTTTAGCCCCTCCACTTCATTTAATTTTACTCATTAAATGAGACCCAGATGAAATGAAAGGCCCAGAATTTAAGTACTTGCATAAAATCAAAGAACTATTTAGCAATAGACCCAAGATTAGGCCACAGTTAAAGTTTTGTAACTGGAAGGCAGGGAATTTTTAGTTGAACACTGAAGCTTTGTTTTATGCATTGCTGTCTAAGATGTTATACATTGTTCAGTTTGAAAATACTTCTTTTTCAACAGCCTCAAAGAGTTGCTGAGAGCTAAATTAATTGAATGTGGCTGGAAGGATCAGTTGAAGGCACACTGTAAAGGTAATCAGTTTCATTTGGAAGATAAACTAATCCCATTTTTTCTGATCAGGATTGGTTTGGGGGTTGCGTATTTTAAGGTATATTGAGTACTCAAGCATGATTTTAAACAAATACGGAATTTAATCCTGTAATGGTTTCCTCTTCTCGGTGGCATATGTAGACCTAATTCCCAATTTTTAGAAATTTTATCTGTTTCTGTTAAAACAAGTGAAACATGAGCACTTAAGATTTTCTCTAGTATCAGAATATGGAATCTCATGTCTTTCAGCAACTTATTGTTTCTTGTGTTTTAACTTAACAAATGGAACACTTTAGGGTTGGCAGACTTGTAGAAATTATCTCTCTCCTGTCTTTAACAGTGAAAATTTGAAAAATTCATCTATGAAACCTCTTAGAATGCACTTTTAAAAAAGTAGAAGGGAAGCTTATTAAATTACTGGGTATTGATGATACCATTTGATAGATTACACATGTCACTAAGGGGAGCCTCCCTTCTGTCTCAGCTTTTGATATAATGGAATTGGATATTTTTAAAGAATCCCCATTGTATTGTAATAGTTTCTACAAATAAAAATAATAAACTATTTATATGTTAACTGTAAGAAGGCAATGCGACAAATTAGTAAAAGCGTAGACTTTAAGGTCATACAGATTTTCATCACTGGAAGAATAGAGCTGGATTTCAACTCAGGGCTGGATGACTTATTTAATCTTTAAGCCTCAGTTGCCTCACCTGTGAAGTGGGAAAATGCCTAGCCCATTAGATCATTGTGAATATTAAATGTTGTAATGCACCTTGTAGAGATCTAGTAAATACTAATTATAACACTTACAAGTTTTCAGCATTTTACAGATGTTAGATTTGAATATTACAGTTTAAATTTCTTTTAAGTGTCACAATTACATATTAAGTTGCAGGTTATTTAGCCCAGACTTATGAACAGACTTTTATCTTTTAAATCTAAAGAATACTTGATATGTTTGTAAGGTTGAACTAAATTTTCAGTGTCCTTTTTTTAAAAGAACCAGTCTACACTCTAAAAACATGATCTTAACCCTTCCTCTATGAAAATCTTTCTTACAGATAATGATTTTAAATGATATGATTTGTTTTTTGCTTTTGCATAAGAGGTAATTAAAGAAAAAGGACTAGAACACGTTACTGTTGATGACTTGGTGGCTGAAATCACTCCAAAAGGCAGAGGTAAGGAATACAGAGTGTTTTAAAGGAAACATGCTGCAGACGTGATTTTTTTAAATCTCTTGCTGATTCAGATTTTCTTTCTGTTTTTAAGGAAAAGCGCTACCTACATTGCCTCTTGTAAAGAGTTAAAATTGCCTACCTGCCTCCTAGCATAGTCTGGGAGTAACAAATGAGATACTAGGTTTCAGTGTTCTTGCACTCTAGGATGGTGCACCAGTGCAAGTTGATACAGTTGTTTAAACAAATAATTTTTAAAATACGGGATTCTGTAGCATCAAATATTACATGAAGCTAGGATTTATAAACTTTATCAGATGTGGCATGACTCTACTTAAATATTTAATAATTCAAAGTCTTATTCCAACCCCTGAGTCATCGCTCCTCTATCTCCTTATTAAAAATTAACGAAGGTCTGTCTTCTTAAGTTCACCCTTTAATGCCTTGTTTACGGAAGGCAAAGTTAAGATAGGAAATATTATATTAAAACTGATGATGTGTAGTAAATGTCAGGAGCTACATCGTTGTTACCTTAGATATAACTACATTATTTTCATTTACTTTGATAAAGGAGTTGTAACTGGAAGGTAAATTAGATGGTCCAAGTTGTTTTGTCACACAGAAATTGTGAAAAGAATTTAAGTGTAAAAAGTAAATAAGTTTGAAAATTATTATTACAGAACATGAATTTTTGAACTCTGCTGGGAATAAGCTACAGAATCCCATGGTTCTTTTCAGCCATCTCTTTAGGCCTGTTTACAACTGGAAAACATGACTTTTTCTTCAAGTATGTCTCAGGGAAAGGAAAAAATAATTACTGAAAATAATTGGCCGGGTGCAGTGGCTCAATCCTGTAATCCCAGCACTTTGGGATGCCGAGACGGGCGGATCACGAGGTCAGGAGATGGAGACTATCCTGGCTAACACGGTGAAACCCCGTCTCTACTAAAAAAAATACAAAAAACTAGCCAGGCGAGGTGGCAGGCGCCTGTAGTCCCAGCTACTCGGGAAGCTGAGGCAGGAGAATGGCGTAAACCCGGGAGGCGGAACTTGGAGTGAGCTGAGATCCGGCCACTGCACTCCAGCCTGGGCGACAGAGCGAGACTCCGTCTCAAAAAAAAAAAATAAAAAAAAATAATTATTGTTCCCCTTATGAATTTATATTTTTAAATTTCTCTAAATTCATTTTTTTTTTGTTTTCTTCTGTGACTTACACTTAGTCTGTTAACATTATTTAGGAACCAGCTATACAAGTTAGAAACTACCCTTTGCTTCTCCTTTAATACTTAAACCTTGGCTGTTTCAATGTCTTGTAGCTCCCCTGCTAGATAATGAGCAAATAAAGAAAAGAGAAGTAAAAATAGATGTTTTAATTTATGTTCTTAGTCTTCTTAGTATTGTTAAAAGTAGACATATTTTTTAATACAGTAAAATTGCCGTTTTTATAGTGCACAGTTCTGTGAACTTTATACATATGTATAGGTTCATGTAGCTACCAGTCAGGATACAGAATAAATAGTTCCCTCACCACCAAAACCTCCCTCATGGTATTCCTTTATAGTCCCATCTTATTTCAAGGCAACTAACTGATCCTGTCCTCAATCACCGTAATTTTTAGTAAAATTATTTTTAGTATACATATTGATTACATTTCCAGTGGACTTGAATTAATTATGTAGTCTGGATTTGTGGGTTGGCTTAATCGTTTATAAAGAAGAATATCTGCCTTATTTGATTTGTGTACTTTTTTTATGGAGATACTGAACTGTATCTGAAGTTTTCCATTTCCCTGGAACACAAGTAAATACATTAGAAGTTGTAGTTAACTGCCCCCCCCTTTTTGCTTTTGCATTTATGGTTTAATATTTTGAATAGATAATAGTCAAATGGGTCAAAAGTATAGCGTATAACAGTTGTAATTTTTTGGATTTTTACTAGCTTGGAGTGTATATAAATGTATTATTTCAGTAAAATACAGATTACCTTCTAAAACATATACCAGTTTATACTCCAGCTAATATGAGCGCTCCCTTAGTCTTGCCAACACAGTATTGCCAACACAGTGTGTATGTATACATATATATATTTTTTTACTTATGTATATACTTATATGTTTGTATATTTTATGTGTATATATACTTAAATATATGTATGTTTTTATATATGTAAAAATATATATACCCCCCTTTTTGTGTGTGTGTGTGTGTGTGTGAGATAGGATCTTGCTCTGTCACCCAGGATGGAGTGCAATGGCATGATCATGGCTTACTAGCCCTGACCTCCCAGGCTTAAGTGATCCTTCTGCCTCAGCCTCCCAAGTAGCCGAGACCACAGACACACACCACCATGCTCCACTAATTTTATTTTTTGTGGAGACAGGTTTTGTCATGTTGCCCAGGCTGGTCTTGAACCCCTGTACTCAGGCAGTCCTCCTGCCTCAACCTTCCAGACTGCTGGGATTACAGGCATAAGCCATCGTACCCAACCAACACAGTATATTATTGACCTTTGTATTTTTTCCTGTGATTGGTAAAATATGCTATATGAATGTGGTTTTAATTTCCTTTCTCTTCTGAGATTCAGACACTTTTGTGTTCAAGAACTCTCCTTTTCTTCATCTCTTTTGCTCACGTTTCTGTTAGCCTTTTAAACTTTTCCTTGTTGGTGTGAAACAACTGTATAGTAGAAAGATCAGCCCTTTTCTGTAAGAACATTTCCTCAGTTTTTATCTTTTGGCCTTGCTTATGGTGATTTTTCATTAAGCATAAGTTGTTACTGTGTTTTAATCAAATTCATCCATCTGTTATAGCCTCTGTATTTAAAAATGGTCTTCTTTACTCCTAGTTTAAAAGAATTTTCTCCTGTTTTCTTTCATCAACATGCAGTGCATTTAGGCATTGGATAGTTCATTTAAAATAATGAATTGCAAGAAGACACTTTTCTTTGTCAGATAACTTTACCTACTTTTTTAATTGACCATGAGGGTTATTTATGAAATTCTTATGTTGTTTACCCTGAGCAAAATGTCAGATCTTAAAGTGACATGTATTAATTGGAACCTTCTTACTCTTATTTTTTTTATTTTTGTTTTTCAGCCCTGGTACCTGACAGTGTAAAGAAGGAGCTCCTACAAAGAATAAGAACATTCCTTGCTCAGCATGCCAGCCTTTAAGATTGAATTAGATTGTGTTGTTGTGGTTTTATTTCTGAAAGTAAAACTTGCCATAAATTAGAAAACAATTTCCCAAAATAAAATCCTTTTTTGTATGATGGTATACAGTTTTCAGTAATGATGTATACATTGTATTGATTTTTTTCCCTAAATGTGTTATTTTAATAAATATCTCATGAATGAGTTTGAAGTTTGCTTGGATTTTGAAATGAATGGGACTTTGTCTTTATTACTAATTCACCAAATTTGTTGAGAGCAAGAGCAATTAATGTAGTGTATTTAGTATGTACAGTTCTCTATGTTAACAGCTGAGAAGTAAGCAACCTTTTCTGACTGCATATGGTGTATTCCTCTTTTGAGTCCCCATAATATTTTATAAATTGTAATGCCCCATCTTGTACTACAGTTGTCTTATTCATATTGTTTATAAACTCTGAGGGTTAGGACTGGGTCGTACTCATCTTTATGTGCCTTCCTTATGCTTCAAAGAATTTACCATCTAATGGAAGAGAACATTTGCAAGTTGACTCCATATCAAGCTCCTTCCACATACTCTACTCATCCGAACTTTGAATGCAGAATCTTTAAATTGCATCCCCACATACTAAGGTCAAGAAAGAACTTAATGGGAAGTAATCTGCACCCATTAGCTTTACCCTGACATCAGGATTGCCAAATCCAATGGACTCTTGTCTATTCTTATGTGACTTCTGCTGGAAAATGCGAATGTTGACCATCCTGCCACTTGGAACTCTCTTCCCACTCCTCACATTGCTTTTTCTACCACTGGAAGTTCCTTCTGTTTCTTGTGGAGTACCTTTTGCTGTCTGGGACTTGTAGATAATGGTGTTTCCTAGGGCTCCCTCCAGGGCCCTCTGCCTCACTACCTGGATATACTTTTCCTGGGCAAATCCCAGGAAACTTGCGTCAGACCGTGACTTCAAATACAGGTTGATAAATTTGTGTCTCCAAACCAAACTTCATCCTAGACTCCAGACCAGAGACCCAACTGCTATGGATCAGCTTTTTAGGATATCCTCACTTCAAACTGACCTTACCTAAAATAATGACTTTTTCCCGCAATAACTGCCCATGCTATATTCCGTATTTCTGGATGGTACCTCCTCCCTATATAGATTATCTGAGGAGCTTACCGAAATGCTGATTCTGAAGATGAGGGGCATGACTTAAGATTCTGTATTTCTGCCTAGTACCCAACTGGTGCTCATGCTGCTGATTGAGAACCACTTTTGAGTATAGCAAGGCTCTAAATGATCCACTGCATGCCCTCGTAATTGTCTTAGTTCAAGTCCAGATTATTGCAGTAGACTTAGTATTTCTTTGCCGTAGTTGATTTGTGCCCCCTCCAGGATCTGTTCCACCCTGTTGCCTACGTGGCCTTAGTAAAATTCAAGTCTGGTTATTTTATTCCCCTGCTTGGAATTTCTCAATGTAGAATGAAACTCATTCAGCATTAACACCTAGGCCCTTCTTGATCTGACATCTTGTACTAAAGAATCCCCACTATAAAGTTGTTTCATCCCTAAGTACCTTTGAAAATCTGTCAACCTAGAAGCCCGCTTTCTCATTTGTTTCTCATCCTGTTTGCCCTTCAAAGTTCAGCTTTAGTTGCTAAAACATTCAGACAGTCCTCTATCTGACCTAGAACCCACCCCACCACTGGGGTTTTTTTTGGGTTTTTTTGTTTGTTTTTTATAGGAAGCAGCTATGCGTAATTCCTCTTCAACACAGTAGTTCTTGAACTTTTGCAGGCCTCTCCTGGGGAGAAGGAAATGGCTTCTCTGACTGTATGATGCTTATTTGTGGATGAATGGGCAAGGGAACAAATGAAGGAACAAACAAGTGAATGAACAGTATGGGAGTATGAGAAAAGGTATAAATTGGGTATAGCTGAGAAAAGGATTCAAATTGATCTTTGGTTCACTGTCCAAACACAATTTCATCTTTCTGATGAATTTAAAGTGTAGTCTTTGAACCAACTGGGTTTAATTATGTAAAGTTTTGAGCCTGAGACAAGCACACAATCTCAAAACCTACCCAAATGAGTTTTTTGTTTCACTTCATCTCTTGTAAAACAATGTTCTAAAGCAAGTGATAGGGATGCTCATCATTCTGCTACCTGTCATCACAATGAAAACAATCAAATAGTACACAGGAAAGGTGAGAAATAGAGGATAGTTCTTATTTCATAGTACTGTATATGGAAATAAACCAAATTTGCTCATAGAGATGCTATTTTATTACCTCAAAAATATATAAAAATGAAAACATGAAAATATTTTAAAATGAGATTTAAAAATAACTGAATTGAGAACATCACAGCAATTTAGAATACTAAGGAGCATAGCTTTAAAATGATAGTGCTGAGAACTCCCTACCGCTACCCCACCACCTATAGGCTTCTTTGACATCTTACAAATGTTCTCTAGTTTGTATCTAGAATCACTTATATCTTTCAAATAAACCAACTTTGTGAACATCTTGACTCACATGATTGATTTCTGTAAGCTAGGAATATATTCTTTAAATTCTTGCAGCCTTTCATGCTCAATGTTGGAAATTCAATAGGATTATTGTTAAATGACTGTACCAGGTGAGTAAAATACTAATTAGGATTACTGTAAGCTTCTCGTATAGGATTAAAGAAGACCCAACTAAATTATTTATGTAATCACTTTGCTTTGGCATTATAAGTGTATCATTTGGTTGAGCAGTGCCAAACCAGGAAATAGTGATACTGGGGACTGGTAATTGGATATGGGACTTTTCATAACTTGATCAAAAGCTCCATCCAACTGAAGAGAGCTATGACAGCTGTTCAGTAGCTGATGTTGAAAATGATCCTCTGTGTGTGTGTGTGTGTGTGTGTGTGTGTGTGTGTGTAAAACCCATCTTGTAAATGACTCATGTTACTCAATGACTTCATAAAACCCCTCATGTTTACCATTAGAAATCACACAAAAGTCATTGGATGTATCTGCCAAGGAAACTAATGGGTGCAATTAATAAGCAGGTTCTAGTCTCATCTCTGGTACTGAATTACCAGGTAAGACTGACCCTTCTGCCTCAGTTTCCTTATCTGCATAATATGTCTGATAGTGCTTACCTGAAAGGAATGCAAATAATAAAACAAATATTATTAATAGAATAAACAAAAAGTAATACGGATTCAAGTTATTTTATAAATAATTTAAAAATATAAGATTATTTACAATGTGTTTTCTAGTTGTTCAGAGATACAGTACATGAATTACACTTGTGTGGAAAATAGCTACTTTTATTTTTTAAGAATGCCTAATATTAACAAGAATATCTACAAAAATGAAGATGAACAATAACTTGATTGAAATAGAATAAATATCACTATAGTAGAGCACTTAGTCATTTTTGCCTTTGTTCTGTTATGAAGTTCTCTATGACATGGACTGCATCTTATTTATCTTTGAATTTGCAATGTCTAATAAATTTCTGATAAGTAAATGTGCAAAAGAGAAAAATTTGGCATGTTCCAGTTTATTCCAGGCTTCAAATTATATTTGATTATACTGTCATCAGCCACAAGAGGGCACTTGAAGCCAGTATTTTGGTCCTCCCTGGGGCTCTAACTGAATTGTGTATTCTTTCAAACAGATCCGCTTCCAATTCAGTCCAGCCAGCCAGCTTTTTCAAGATGAAAGTGTTACTGAATTAAAACTTAATGTGAGGACTTCAGAATGTGATTCTTGTATAAATTAAGATGAAGCCACTGTGTGATGTAGATATTGTTTAGCTGGGATCGTTTTCTGAAGTCAATTCAGCAATTCAAGCAAGAAGATGATTTAAATAGCATACACTGCTACTGAAATCGTCTATTTCACTTACTTTATCAATAATAATAATAAATACAGTAAATTCTTAATGAAAATGAAAGAAAAATAATTTTCAGTGTTTATTTTCCTTGCTGTACCTTTCTCATAGCCTTTTTTAAAGGTAATAATATTCATATTTTCCTTTTTAAATCTGTATCACTTTATCAAAACACACACACACACACAATGAATAGAGCCTTATATTATGCCAAAACCCTGTGGCCACTGAATGAATGTTGACTTTTGATTACAATGGTAAAAAACGTCAATAAACAAAGGCATGTAGAACCTGCAGTCCTGATGCTGTGTTGTTCATTAAGTAATTTTGAGTACAGGAGTTTGTGTCAGTGCTTATCACATCCATTAATGCCTCGCCTTTGTGCCTGGGATCACTAGAATCAAATGATAAAAAATGGCTTTCAGTTGCCGTGTAACTTTTTACCTTAAAATATTTTGTTGAGGGCACACCCTTGATAATTTATCCCTCCTAGACAGCTACGTATATCAAACTTGGGCTTTTGCTGGGCTAAGAGCCACAGAGTAGAATGCTGGAAATAGAAATGTTTATTAAACCATACCTGCCTGATATGCAGGTAATTTAAGTAATGATATATGTTGTCTGATTTGAGGAGCATTCAGTTGGGCTGAGTTACTGACAGTATGTGAGTGAGTGCTCTGGTTCTCTTCTCAGTTCTATCAGTAAGGTGGTTAATAATTTCATTACTCATTTGGGAGTTCATGTGACAATTGCCTTTCAACAATGTATCTCAGATTTGCTAGGGATACTGGCAATATAATCAAGTAAAAGAATTATGGGTGCTTCTTTCAAAGGTGTGACCTAAAGTCAAAGTTATAGTAAAGAACTTTACAAATCCATGTGTATATACACACATACGCACACACGTGGATTTGTGTATATGCTGTACTATTCTTCTAGTAATGGTACTCATAAAATAATTTTGTATGTGGAGTCTATCACCCATATTTCACCTCCTACATAAAAATTGGACTTCCAGGTAGACAAATTTAGTAAAATAGAACAGACATATTTGCTGATTAGTTGCATTTCCTGTGTTTTTGATCTAATTATTTCATTTTATAAAGACTTTTTGAGACCTCCATTGAACCGCCCCTTTATCATTATCATTGCTTCCCGCATGCTCTCACTTCCCTCCTTACCAGCTTAAATTTGGTCATTATTAAGCTTAAAATTGATCGGTTTATCGTTAGAACCTCCTCACTATTAACCTTAACTTCTCTCTGTTTTCTAACCACACACAGTCCTGTCTAAACCTCGCTACACTGAAAGCCTAGTCCATGCATACACATGTTTATCTGAACTTTGTTGAAGAAAATTACACAACCCTTCCGATAAGTCTCATTTTAAAATAAAAATCACTACATTGTGAAAAAACAATTGGCATGGATTTCTCAAAAAGAAGTCAATGTCATGAAGGAATGAAACACTAAAAAAAAAAAGAGAGAGAGAGAAGCAAAAGCAAAGGCAGGGTCTGTGCTAGATTAAAAGAAAGATATATTAAAGTTTAAAACAATGTGTTATCCTTGTTAAATAAACAAAACGCAACTATCTAAAATGTTATTTGGACATTTGGAAAACTGTAAGCATGGACTGTAGTTTCAGTGTTAAATTTCTTGAGTCTTACACTTGTATTTGTGAAGAATGATCCTGTTCCATCTTGAAGTATTTAAGGATGAAGTGCCACATTGTAACTAACTCTCAAATGTTTTAATAGCAAAAACTGGTACTAAATGAATAGACTATGAATAGAAAAATGAACAGAAAAAAATTATATATATGGAGATAAAGATTTAAAATGTGAATCCAATAGAAGTTTATATACCTACTTATTGTAAATAAGTTTAAAATTCTTCAAAATACAAGTGTGATTTTTTGCTTCATTTTAAAAATGAATAAAATATTACATAAAAATGTTTTCTGGTTTGGGTACATTTAATATGTATGGAACAATAATACTATATGTCAGCATTCCTTTTATATCTTTGGATAAATGTTTTATATTGTATATGTAACTTGCCTTTATTTTCTATGTTTTCAAAAACCACTTTATTGAGGTATGATTGACATGTAAAAAGCTATACTTATTTAATGAATATGTCTCAATGAGTTTGGGGATAAGTATATACCTGTGAAACCATCACTACCATCAAGGTCATAGACATATGCAGCATCTCCCAGACTTTCCTCCCCCTACCCTTCGTTATTGTTTGTGTGTGTGTGTGTGCGCGCGCTTGTATGTAGTAAGAACATTTAACATAAGATCTATCTGTTTAGAAAATTTTAAGTATACAATATGGTATTGTTAGCTACAGGCACTGTGCTGCATAATAGATCTCTAGAATTTACATAACTGAAACTTTGTATGCTTTAACCATCATCTTCTTGTTCCCCATCACCCCAGCCCCTGACAATCACTCTACTGTCTGCTTCTATCAGTTTGACTATTTGGATTCCACATATAGGTGAGATCATACAGTATTTGTCTTTCTGTGTTTGACTTTTTTCACTTAAACATTGTATCCTTTAGGTCCATTCACGTTTTCACAAATGGCATGATTTCTCTCGTTTCTCAGACTGAATAATTCTCGTGTGGAGGAGGGTGGATAGATGAATGTGGTGGTGTGTATTACATTTTCTTTATTCATTTATCCATCGATGGACACTTAGGGTAATTCCATATCTTGATTACAGTGAATGATGCTTTAATGGACAGGAGGGGCAGACACATATTGAAGATCCTGGCTGGGTGCAGGGGCTCATGCCTGTAATCCCAGCACTTTGGGAGGCGAAGGTAGGCAGAACGCTTGAGCCCAGGAGTTCTAGACTAGCCTAGGCAATATAACAAAATCCCATCTCTACAAGAAATTCAAAAACTAGCTGGGTGTGGTGTCACACGCCTATAGTCCCAACTACTTGGGAGGCTGAGGTGGAAGGATTGCTTGAGCTCATGAGGTCAAGACTGCAGTGAGCCATGATTGTATCACTACACTCAAGCATGGGTGACAGATGAGACTTTGTCTCAAAAAAATAAAATTCTGATTTCAATTCCTTTGAATTTATACCCAGAGGCGGAATTGCTGGATTATATGATGGTTCTATTTTTTAACATTTTGAAGAATCTTTATACAGTTTTTCATCATGGCTGTACTAATTTACATATAAACCAACAATGTATCAGGGTTTCCTTTTCTCCACATTCTTGCCAACATTTATCTTTCAACTGTTTGATAATAGTCATTCTAAAAGTTGTGAGGTGAAATGGTGATTTTGATTTGCATATCCCTGATTGGTGATGTTGAGCACCTCATCACATAGCTTTTAGCCACTGTATGTCTTCTTCTTTAGAGAAATATTTATTGGGTCCTTTGTCTATTTTTTAATTGGATTCGTTTGTTGTTTGTTTTTTTGTTTTGTTTTTTTTTTTTTAATTTATTTATTATTATTAAACTTCAAGTTGTAGGGTACATGTGCACAACGTGCAGGTTTGCTACATATGTATACTTGTGCCATGTTGGTGTGCTGCACCCATCAACTCGTCATTTACATCAGGTATAACTCCCAGTGCAATCCCTCCCCCCCCAACTCGCTACT